TAAAATAAAAAAATAAAAATAAAAATAAAAAAAATAATAAAATAAAAAAATAAAAATAAAAATAAACAGTTCAGTTGTTAATGCCTAAAAAAAAAAAAAGAAAAATGTCCCCATTATAATTGTCTACATATAGTTCCTCCTTCTCACTACCAGTCCTTCCTTTACCACTCCACAATGGCTCTCTCTCTACCACTCCTCAGAAACTGCTTTTGCCATGGCCACCAGTGACCTCCGTGTTGTCAAAGCTAATGTCAAAAGCTAACTCTTCTGTCCTCACCAGACTCAATCTCGCAGTGGCATCTGACATAACTAACCTCACCCTCTCCTATGGAAAATGCTCCCCCCAGGCTTCTTTAACACCACACGCTCCCAGTCTCCCCCCGCCTCGCAGCCTCTCTATCTAGCTTCCTCGGCTGGCTGCTCTTCATCCCCCATCCAATTTCAAGCTTGACGGCCCTCCCCACCCCCAGTCTGGCCTCATTGCTGGACCCTCTCTCATTACTTATCTGCATGCACCTCCCACAACTTCACCTCCATCCAAACGCTTGTGGCTTCCATGTGTTTCTCCAACCAGACTTCATGGAGATGCAGGTGGACATGCAACTGCCTGGCTCACGTCTCCACTTAGATGTTTCACTCAAACCTAACATTCCCCTGTAAATATGGTCCTCCATCAGGACAAGTTTCTAATCACTCATTTCATCAATACCCCCACCTTCCATCCATCAACAAGTCTTAGCAATGCTTCCTCCAAAGTAAACTCTAAAATCATCCATGCCTCTTCTGTTCTATCCCCACCACCCTACACAAGCCACCATGACATCTCATCTGTGTTACTATAATAGTTGGCACCATCTTTAATCCATTCAACCCACAGTGGCCAAATGAGTTTTTAAGGAAGGAAATAAGATTACTTTACTCCTTTTCCTAAGACCCTTACAATGTCTCCACTGCACCTCAGATAGAATCTAGAGCACTGTCATGGCTCATACACCACACACCTGCTACTCCCCACTCCCATGGTGCCCCTCCCCTCACTCCAGCACATGGGCCTCATGGAGTTCTTGGAACGCTCTAAGCTCTTCCCTGCCTCAGGAGTTTTGCACTTGCTCTTCCCTTTGCCTGACACACCCTTCACTCTACCTCTCTTTCTCATCTTTCAGGACACACATGATCTGAGTATCCCTACCAAGAAATGTACCTTAACACTAAGACACCGTCTCTTAAATGTAATACTAAACTAATGTGAGTTGGTTAACTAAGTCCTATATCAAATAAAAATATTACATTGCATGTAATAGCCGTTAGCACCTTTTAAAACTGTAATAAAGTGTGTGAAATATGCTGCATTTAAGCTGGCCAAAGCCAAAAAAGATATTTCATTAAAAGGAAATATTTTCCCCTATAGAACCATTTACCAATTGTAAAATCTATATGTTGCCATTTGGAGAAATAATTAGTGCTAGACCTGCATGTGTAACCTAAGCACTAAGAAATCTCAAATGCTACTGCCTGAAAATGCTGAAAGGTAGCACGTCTACATGGCTCTGCAAACCCACCTCTGCAAGGTGTGGGTTTTGAGTTTCTTCTCATATAGTGAGAATTAATTTGGACTCAGTCATCAGAAATCTCTTTTGAAATAAATCTAGGTACAAACAAACAAATCAATTAAGAAATAAATGAATTAAACAAATGTGTACTTGTGTCTATGGAGAGTTATGATTCTTGGCTAAGGTAAGGAACACAGAGGCCACGGCACAGAGTGAAACCACGTGATCTACATTAAACATTCAAATTCACGGCATTAGCTTACTAGCATAATTCTCTATGTAATTATATGTAATCAGAGATAACAATGGAGGAAAAAAACCTGGTGAAATTTATCTGGTACTTTGAATTTAGATCTTACTTTTTCCCTCTTTATCAGACTAAAAGAGCAAAGTTCAATTCATTTGCAATAGAAATAATTTATGTAGGGGCACATATCATTATGAAATTAAGTAATATAAACTGCATGAGAGGTCAATTCATAACAAAAAACTATACCAAAAAAAAACCTGGAAACTAATACAAGTGTTTTTACATATATAATTAATACACAAGATTATTACATGCAATGATATTTCTTAACTTCGATATCATAAAGTTTACTATAACAGTGAAAACATAGTAAAAATAGGAAAAGCATAATTTTGGAACTTTTTTTAGTAAAAACTTTGCATTATCTCTTTGTATAAGACTTAATTAGAATAAGAAGTATATTAAAATCATGTTAAAGATCATCATTTATTAAATGGTCTTGGAGGCTGATTTCTATCTTCATTTATTGTAACCTGTATTACGCCCCAATGGGGCACTCAAGCTTACCTGTGAGCCTGGAGGGGGAGTCAAACCAAGGAACGAATAAATAATATTCTCTTCTTTTGCAGAGAAGAAAGAGTCAAAGTCCTTGAAGCAAAGGAAAAACACATGTTTAAATGCACTGTTCACTTGTGAGCCAGTATATTTACGCACATTGATCTTTTTTGTTTATTGGTCCTTAAGTTAAGAACTAACACAAAAGTTTATCCCAGCTGCTTTGTCAAAGATGACAAACCCCAAAAGTTACAATATCTAACCATGAATTTTACACTTGTTTTTATACGCTTTCATTGTATTTGTACAGCACATACACACACACAAACACACACCTGCTCATGCTCAGGAATTGCTGACAACATTCAAATATACATAGTAAATAGCTTTTCCAAAAGTTTCAAGTCTTCAGCTGGTTTACTTGTGATTTGGTCATATGGATTTGGACCCTCATCAGCTAAGACTAAGACAACAAAGGATTTTCCTACTGTTATTATATTAGCTCTAAGGGCCCAGATTCATCTCAGGCCCTTCCAATACCAGGAGCCACAAGATCATGAAGGACTTAGAGGGGAACTTGTTTTGGCAAAATGGGAAAAACTGTAGAATGATCCGAGACTGGGTAGTGGATTAAAATCTGATGCTCAATAAAGCTCTACCCCCACCTCAGCCCCACCAGGATCAGTCCTCCACCAGGTGGGTCCAGCCCTAAACCAACTCACCAGTACTGTGGTTGTCAAAAGCTTGGAAGAGTTTCATTTTTTATAACTAAAACATTGAAGATATTCCTCCAGGATACTTTACTATGGACAGTTTTTGTCATCAGGGCCATGATGTAAAATTTCAACAGTGTTGCAGAAAGACCCAAGAGTAACAGGAGTTTGTTTTAGCTTGAACAGGACAATACTCAAAACAGTTTAGTTGTATTATTGCCTACCCTACACTTACTGTACGTTAAGAAGCTTAAAACCAAATATAGGCCACAGTTATTGGGAAGAAAATGATATGTATTCCTGTGTGTTAATCTTATTCAAAGATTTATTATTTTCCTATATGTTGCCCCCAGTCTCTCAGTGATTAATTTTATTCTTTTACACTCAATGCATTTTCGGAAGCTGCCTCAAATCTCAGGTGAAGGGAATATAGCATCCTGGGTAAGTGCGAGAGCTTTGGCATCAAAAATTCTGATTGATTCCTGAAGCACACGCTTACTAGGTGGTGTTAAAAGATTACATGAGATCACACAGTAGTAGTAGTATTAAGTAGGTAAAATGTAGTACGGTAAATTTATGCTATTTTTCAAAAATTCCATAGATAAAGATCTGATAACTTCTCTTGTTGAGCAATTCTAACTTTCAAGGGAAGAAAGGTTTTCTTATAGTTAAGTTGTCTTTTGCTTCAATTTAGGAACAAATAGCATCTTCAGCATCTTCAGAGGGCTGGAAAACAATTTGTCATTATCTCTGACTTGATGCAAGCAAATATAGAGAGAAAATAATGAGTATAAAATGGTTTTTCAACTTTCAGTTCTGTTAATATCGCAGATTACATGCCCAGAAACACTGTCTTGCAAATAAAAATAAAAATAATTTTAAAATTTTTAAAAAGAGGCAAATTAAGAAAAGAAAGAAGTATAAATGCTTTGCTGACATGGCACAAAAGAAAAGATTATAGCCAAGTGGGAGTGTGACTCCTATGAATAAGCATACACCAAGGCCACCATTCATGTTGAGAGTTTTGATGCTGAAGAGGGGAAAGGAGAAACTGGAGAAAGACTGGAGCCTTGTCGAGGTGAAAAGTTTCATGAAACACACACGCATACACACTGCAGAACTCCAGAGGGTTCTGGTAGCCCTACCATGAAGAACACAATAGAAAGGGAACCTCCCTGATTCAACTTTGGTGCTGAGTGTGGGGAAAATATTCTTCTCTGAGACTTCTTAACCACAAGCCAGAATTCATGAAGGGTTGTGGTCCCCTTGTAATAACGATTGGGTTCAGAGCCAAGAGGCAATAAATTGATAAAAGGTACGTAGAGAATAGAAAAAAAAAAAAATAGGAACATTTCCCCAACTTATTTAATAAGGCCAGCCTACCTACTTTGGATACCAAAATTAGAAAAGGTCAGTATGGGGCCAGCCCGGTGGCGCAATGCTACAGTGCGCCGCTTGGGAGCGCGGTGGTGCTCCCGCCGAGGGTTCGGATCCCACATACAGACCAGCCGCTCACTGGCTGAGCGAGGTGCGGGCACAGCACCGAGGGTTGCGATCCCGTTGCCGGTCCCGGTCCAGTACGGGCGCAACACTGAGGGTTGCGATCCGTTGCCAGTCACGAAAAAAGACAAAAAGGAAAAAAAAAAAGAAAAAAGAAAAGGACAGTATGATCTCATTCAATCTCTTTCATGCACATATATTAAGAATCCTAAATAGAATATTAGCAGATCAAATCCAGCAATATGTAAAGAGTTAATACATTGCAACCAAGTTGGGTTCCTCCCGGAAACAAAATGGTGATTTAACACCAGGGAAATCTATAAATATAATTTATTATATTTACAAATTAAAGAAGCAAAGTTATTTGTTTACCTTAATTGGTACAAGAAAAAGCTTTAAATAAAGTTGAACATCTATTCATGACATTATTTTTAATGTTTTAGCAAACTAGGAAACTAATGTCATAAAAGGAAGCTACACAAAACTTTAGCATATATCATACCTAGTGGGAAAATAGTGAAAACATTATATTTAAAATGAAAAGCAAGACAGGGACACCTATTATCAACATTCTGTTCAAAATTGTTCTAAAAGTCCTCACCAGTCAAGAAAAGAAGACAGAGATATATTGTAAAAAAAAAAAAAAAAAAAAAAAAAAATTTAAATATTTTTTATATATTTTTTAAAATTTTTTAATAAAGTAAAAAAAAAAAAAAAAAAATTTAAATATTTTTTATATATTTTTTAAAATTTTTTAATAAAGTAAAAAAAAAAAAAAAAAAAAAAAAAACTTAAATAATTTATATATATATTTATAATATTTATATATAAGTTACAAAATAATATACAGACAAATTATTACAATTAATAAGAGTTTAGCAAGGTTGCTGGATACAAATCTTAATATGAAATGTTACTTTTGTATTAGCAATAATCAGGGAGAAAATGCAACTCGAAAAAAGAGATGATATAAAAAATGTGAAGTGCCTCCAAAAAAATATGATATGTATAGAGAAAATTTAAACATTTCAGACCTAAATAAATGATGCGATAGGCATATCCTTGAATTGAATACCTCTATAAAAAAGTATCTTCACAATTCTTCCCAAAGTAATCTATAGATCCAATACTTTTTCAATCAAAATCCCAACAGGAATTTTTGCAGAACCAAACAAAATAGTTAAAATGAAAAGGCAAAGAATAACCTAGAAGAAGCAAAAGAAGAAGGTGGCAAGTCTCGTTATAAAGCTGTGATCATGAAGACAGAGTGGCACTGGAGCATAAATAGACAGAACACCCAGAAACAGACCCATACAATACACAAATGATTATGACAGAACCTGTATTGTGAGTAGGTGCAGCAAGGATGAACTATTTAGTAAATGTGGATGAGACCACTGGTTATCCAAATTTTTAAAAATTGCAATTATGTCTCTACCTCATACCATTTACAAAAAATATTAATTTTAGATGCATTAAAGAAGTAAATATGAAGCTAAAATTATAAAAATTTTAGAAGACATAGGAGAACATATTTTTGATTTCAGGTTAGAGAAGAGTAAAAAGACAAGGCATGAACTGAGAAAAGATACCTACAACACATATAATCAACAAAAGATTAGTGTCTTCTGCACTGTATAACAAATCCTTGCCATCATAAGGAAAAGGCAAAAACTCAACAGAAAAATGTGCAAAAGATATACCAACAAACAAAACATATAAAGAGCTACTCACTCTCATTCGCAATCAGGGAAATGTTAATTAAAGCCACAATGAGTTACCATCTCATACTCACAAGGTTTGCAAAAAATGTCAATGTGAAACATTGAAAACTCTCACCCACTACTGTCAGGAGTGGAAATTGGTAGAACCATTTAAAAAACACTTTGTATTATCTATTAAAGGTAAACATGCCCATAAATATGACCTAGCAATTCCACTCCTACTGAAAGGACCAAGAGAAATTCTAATGTCACCAGGAGCCCTGTTGAGAGCATTCCTTTAGCAGCAGTGTTTGCAAGAGCTAAAAACCAGAAACCACACAATTGGCCTTTGTGGAGCAGTGAAAGTGAATAAACTACAAACAAAACCAGTTAACATGGATGTATCTTTAAAAACGTGGTGAAAGAAGTAAGTCAAAGAGAATACACACAGTATGAGTCTATTTCTACACAATTCAAAAACAGGCAAAACAAAACAAGATACTGCTTAGGTACATGCGAGATCAGACAAAAAAAAAAAGGGAACAGTAAACACAAAATCCACTGCAATGCTATCTCTGGTGCAGACAGAGGGAGATGTGATGAGACAGCAGCACACAGTGGGCTTCTACATTTCTGGCAATGTCACCCTTCTTAAACCAGATGATGTGAATATGGTTGTTCACTGCATCATTCCTCTTTAAACCATATATTTTTATCATATGTGGCATATTTCAAAATAAATTTTTAAGAACATAAAATAGTTTGTTCAGTAGCATCAATGTGTTGAAAAGCCCTATCCCCACCTTAATTGGGTTTACATCCTGTCCCTCCTTAAATCCTGAGTACCCAAAATACCTGCCTCTCCGCTGAATGGTCAAGGTCCCCTTGGTTGTGTTCAGGCCCAGGCTGCCTTGGTCCCAGGCAGACCCCACAGCCCTTACCTGGCCTAAGACGCACAGATTCCAACTTGTCATCGACAGACATGTCTGCTTACTTCCAGTCTGTATTCCACTGCCAGGCGGGTAACCTGGCCTTCACTGTGCCTCGCTTCCCGTCTGGTGTCTCCTTTCTTCAACTAACAGCTGTCTGCCATGGCTCTCAGGATAACATCTTCATCAGTTCTGCACAGAGCAGCAGGAGTTCAAACTAGCAGGGGGAAAATGGTACTCAAGACTGCCTCTGACACTCAATCACCTCACTGCCCTGGGGTAGAGAAACCTTGTCTCTGAGGTTCTCTTCCACCCGCTGCCGTCATCAGGTATGGCACACGGTTGACCATTCAAGAATCCTCAGAAACCAGTGAGATGAGTTAAATAACAGTTGTTCTTATAATACACATTCTAACTCTCCAGATTTATGCCATTTTAAACCTGACATATCCTTCAGAACTTCTGAGTCTCCTTTTAAAACCTGAACCTAATATACAAATAATCATTTTTACCTACTTTTTGGAAACAAAGACCTCCACTTCATTAATGCACTTTGTTAAGCATGTTCATAAACTGCCGAAAAGCAAATTTAGCAAAGCTTCTCCTAAGATAAACTACTAACACCTCTCTGAAGGAAGAACTGAAAAGAATTAAAAACAGTTAAACATAAAATAATGTATAAACTTATTTCACCAGATTCATATTTACAATAGGAAAATATATCTTAAAAATAGAAGTCATTATTCGGGAAAACTTTTATTTCTCTTCCACAATTAAAATGAAAAAAAAATTGCTAAATCGTAGCAAAATGGGATAAGAGATGGTTTTTAGGTTTTATTTTATAGCAAAAAATAGCTGTAGAACTTTTACCCTAGGAGTCAACATAGGTGGAAAGCTACATACTTCAATATTGTCTCTACAATAACTAGCCTAATTTTAAAAGATGGTCAAAATAAGCAAAAGTAAGAGATTTAATATCTTATTTTAACTGGAAAAGTACTAAAATAAATACGTGAGACCATTCTTTTGATAATTTTAGAGTACAGAAAGCTTTTCTAAACAGATTCAGAGTACAGTAAGCATAGAAAGATTAATAAATTTGTCTACACAGTAAATTTTAAAGTTCTGTATTGCAAAAAAAAATTCCTTGAAAAAGTCAAAAGACAAATAAAAAATATGGAGGTAATATTTGCAACTTGTGTGGTAGTCAAAGGATTACTTTCCTTCATACATAAAGACTCTTACAAACCAATAAACATTACCTATAGAAAAACAGCAACAAATATGCATAGGTAAGTCATAGAAAAAACAGAGAGAGCTCATAAGCATAGTATGAAAAGATGTTCAACATCACCCAGAAAGGGAGAAATCCAAGTCAAAGCAGTGAGAATCCATTTTTTATCTAACTGATTGCCAAAGATCCAAAAGTGTGCTAAGCACCGTGTTGTCAATGTCACAGGGAACTAGCCACTCTCAAACTTGGTTGATGGAAATGTAAATTGGTGCAACCACACTAGAGGGCCATTTGCCAATACCTATCATAATATGAGATACAGACGTACTTTAAACTCAGCACGCCTTCCAGGAATTTATCCTACACTTATACACTCATACTGGATACAAAGATCTGTATGTATAAAGTTGATTCCTGCAGCATTGTTTGTAATGGTGAAGGGCTGAAAACAACCTGAATGTTCTCCATTAGAGAACTATGCCAAAAAATTGTCACACACAATGGAACATTTTGCAGCCATTAAAATAAGGGCTTTGTGCAGCTATGCAGTGATCTCAGAGAAGCAATTATTAAGTGAACAAAACAAAGTGTATATAGAACACTCCCATTGTTTAAGTAACACACGATTGTAAATTACATAGAAAATTTCTGGAAAGCCAAACAAGAAATTGCCAGCATTGGTGGCCTCTGAGCAGGACTGGCTACATAATTTTTAGGGACCAGTATAAAATGAAAATGAGGGGCCCTTTGTTCAAAAATTATTAAGAATGTCAAGACAGCAACAGCAGAGTATTAAACCAAATACAGAGCCCTCCTGAGCCTGGGGCCCTGTGTGATATCCCCACAGAGCCAGCCTCACTCAGGGGAAGGCAGCTCGAGTGACAGCGGTCAGAAATGGGAGCAGAATAATTTTCACTGGAGACCCTTTTAAACCATTTTAAGTCTTCAGTGTTTATTAATATTACTTTTAATATCAATATTAATTAAATATTAATTTTTCAATTAGTAAAAGAAACTGTTTTATACAAAATAAAATCAAAATTCCTCACCACCACCACCCTAAAAGAACCTATTATCCCTTTCCTTATCCAACAAGAGCTACAATGCTCAGAAATGTGTTTGTAGGGAGGGCAGGAGTTGCAGGTGGAAAGGAGGGGCTCTTCTTCACAGAGAAAATCCTGTCTACATTCTGGAAGCCCCGGGTTAAATCCACGGGAGAATTGAATTGGACCATTATGTTCTCCCAAATATGTGCTTACCAATTAAGATTGTTTGAAAACACTCCCACACCCACCAAACTTTTAGCTAAGCCCTTGAAAAATGTTAACAAAGCTATGTAGATTGGCACAGCCCTGTACTGGGTTGAATGGTATACCCCACATATCCATGTCCATCCAGAACCTCTGAAAGTGACCTTATTTGGAACAGTATATTTGCAGGTGTAACTAGTTCAGACAAGACCATACTGGATCAAGGTGAGCCTTATTCCAATGACTCTTGTCCTTATAGGAAGGCCATGTGAAAACAGAGATACACAAAGACAAGACCATGTGAAGCTGGGAGCAGAGACTAGAGCAACACTTCTACAAGTCAATGAGTGCCAAGGATCGCCGGCAAACACTAGACGCTGGGAGAGAGGCATGGAACACATTCTCCCTCAGAGCCTCCAGAAGCAACAAAGCCTGCACCAACATCTTGATTTCACACTTCTAGCTTCCAGAACTGTGAGAAAATAAATTTCTGTTGTTTTAAGCCACCAACTTTGTGGTACTTTGTTACAGCAGCCCTAAGAAACTAATACAAGCCCCCAAGTACTGAACAATTCATGCTTCAAACCAGAGATCCAAAATCTTTTCTGTAAAACAGCAAGTAGTAAATACTTTTGGCTTTGAAGGTCACATGGTCTCTGCCACAACTACTCTGTCATGGTGGGAAATCAGCCACAGCAACAGATAAATGAATTAGCATCATTTGTTCCAATAAAACTTGATTTACTACAACAGACAGTGGCAGGATTTGGCCCTCAGGCTTTAGTTTAATGACAGGTGCTTTAAATGGAAAACATAATAAAGAAAACCTAACATAAAGAACGAGTAGTTCTGTGTAGCAAGAAGAGGTGAGTTATGATTCCTGGCATGCCACTGCTGCCACGGGGCCCACCCAGGGTCCTGAAGCTTGGAGTTGGGTACCGAAACCTCCTCCCGCAACCAGGCAAGGAGCACACCAAAAACACCATTTCCATGTGGGTGGCCCCCACAGCCACCACGATAGCCACGGCTGTCACAAAAGTGGAATTTTTTCCACTTTTCCACAAAAGTGATCATTCGGAGTGATAGAAGAAGCATCTACTCTACAATAATAGTGGGGGACGTGAACACACCTCTCTCAGCATTGGACAGATCACCTAGGCAACAAATCAACAGAGTAACCATTACTCTTTCAGAAGGAGAGAAGAAATCTAGGGTTATCAGAGGGGGGAGGGGAGGGAGAGACTGGATAAGGGACATAAAGAATAAGTATGACTTGTAATAATGTATTTGCTAATAATATTGATTTGATCAACATATGTCAACACTGACTGAACCCCAAAAATACGTATAATCAATTCATTCAACTAAAAAAAAAGAAAAAGAAAACAAAAAGAACTTGACCAAAAAGAAAAAAAAAAGAATAAAGAGAATTTCTACTGCCAAAAAGAAAAAAAATGATTCCTGCACCTTGTTCCAGCACAACACAGCACAACCCTGAGCAATTCCTCTACTTTACAGAGCCCTCGTTTCCTCATCAGAGACATGTCTAGATGGCTTCAATGACCCCTAAGATAACTTCCACTTCTCATGTCCTTTGAGTTTGCAAAATGTTTCAACAGTTTAATTTATTAAGTACAATCTGTAAACTCTGAGGAAAAAGTGATTTTATGGTGAAATGAACTATTAAATGTGTAAAATAAAATTGCTGTTAATCAAAATGTCCAGAACAGTTTTTAAATTAATTAGATAAATTAATACAAATTTATCTTGTATCTATAGTAAAACTTTACATCTGCAAATCAATCTTTATAAAAGTGAAAACTTGCTATGTGTCTGTGTGGGTCCACATGGGCACACTGCAAGGTTGAATAGAATTCCTTTTTAAGTACATGCATATTTTGTTTGAACATGTAACCTCAATTCTTCAAAATAAAATAAGGAACCTAAAATAATTCAAAAAACTTCTGAATCATCACGTTATTGTTTCCACCATTTTCTAAATCTTAAGTATTGATTATTCACAATGGATCTACTACCCAGGTATTAGATGGTAGAAATAGATCAAGACCTGACAGTTGTCAACAATTTCAAATGCTGTCTCAAAATTAATTTGCCTTAAAGATTTCTGATAAACACACACAGAGAAGGATTTTCAATGAAACCAAACACTCACCCCACAATACTGCTCTTCATTGAAGATCTGGGGAGGCAAAGGAATCCCGTTTTGAGGTTTTTTCTCTCCAGGAACATTCTCTCTCATCCACCTCCTATTGTCTTCATCTCCGGCTATATCCAGTTCCTTAAAGTCTATTTTATTAGCTTCCAAAAAGCCCACCACTTCTTGCTGTTTCTTCCTAATCTAATCAAGAATAGAGAAAGATAATTATCAGGCTGTTTTTGAAAAATGTTTCACTGACATTTCCATAAATTTCACTGTTTCTCTAGCTACGCCACACAACACAAATAATTTCGTAAAGTATTCAAACAAGGAAAACAATAAAATCACACCTCTTTACTATAAAAGATGAGCAGAGTGATTATTTAAATTCTGGAATTTTAATATCATCAATGTTTAAATCATGGTATAACCAACCTAATCAGAATAGAGATATTATCCTCTTATCTTTGATTTGAGGTCTTTTAAATACTTTTAATTCTTTGCTAAGTTTTAATGTCCAAAAAGTAATCAAGAATTAGTTAGGAAGAGCAGAGATCTGAGTTAGAGAAGAGGAAACACAAAAGAGAAAAAAGATAATTTACTGTGAAATTCAAACACCAAGTATACAAATACTAAAATGCATTTCATTCAAAGTTATGAAAAGTTATGAGTCACACTGAATTAAAAGTAGCTTTAGAAATGTTACAGGGAGGGCCGACCCATGGCTCACTTGGAAAAGTGTGGTGCTGATAACACCAAGGCCACAGGTTCGGATCCCTATATGGGAATGGCCAATTAGCTTATTTGGGAGAGCGTGGTGCTGACAACACCAAGTCAAGGGCTAAGATCCCCTTACCAGTCATCTTTTTTTTTAAAAAAAGAAATGTTACAGGGAATTGAAAAGCGCACGTGGAGATTATTGGAAGGGGAAGGTCAGAGGAAAGGCTAGAAAAACCTGGTGGATATTTCTCCTAAAACAAAAAAAAAAGTAACAGTAAAATCACCCTATTCTTGCACAAATTTCTCCTTTCCTACCGACACCCATCTCCTCTCTGAGAGTGTGGTGCCAGCCGCACCTAAGAGAGAACTGCTGAGTGCCCTTTACTCTACCTGTGGTTTCCGGGTAATGACTATGTCTACCAATTGCTATTTCCTATCAATACAGCCATCTTTATGTATTGGAATTTTTGGGGGGGGGTGGGCAGCTGGCCAGTACAGGAATCTGAACTCTTGACCTTGGTGTTATCAGCACCATGCTCTTAACCAAGTGAGCTAACCAGTCATCTGTATAGTGTAGAACTCCTCCCCATAAACAATTACAACAACTTTCTCTCTTCAAAGAATTCACTCCTGAAAATGCATGATGCCATCTTTTATAAATACTGGTAAACAAGTTACAGCAGACTCTGTGGACACCATTTTAAGAGCCCCAAGGAGAAATTTCCACAAAGCATAATCAACCCAATAATCAACAGTCATTTATTGACTCTCTACCCTGCACAAGACATTGTGCCTAGTTCTTCACGTGAACAGATTTTTAACCTGCTAATTTGGGTGGGAAAAAGCACAGAACTCATTTTCACAACAATAGATATAGAACACAGTAAGGAAGATAAAGAGGCAAAAATATGGTCATTTTTAAGATTAAAATTAAAATTTTAAATAATATTTTCCTTGACATGAAAATATCTAAAATCTCAATTTTTCTGAATATTGTCTCAAAATGAAAACAAGTCATTAAAGAAGTTTAATAGGGTGTGAGGGCCTCTTATCTTTTTCCTGTAACTTGTTTATCAGCAAAAGGACTAGACTTTGAGGGTTCCAAATAAATGCTGTAAAAGGTACACACCTGTCCCCAATCTAATGTCTAGATTCAAACCCTCTTTTGGTTAAACCCAAATTCTGGCTTAGAGATCTGTATACCAAAAAAATAACATATTTTACTCATTTTTGCCAAAATGAATAATTCTATCAATGACTCTTGTATAGGGTGCTTCTTAAAATAAGGAAGACAGACACATACAGTGCTTAAGCCATGGAATCAAATCACCACCCAAACCAAACTGTATGTAAATCCTGTATTTATATGTATATATAATTACATATAAAATGTATATGTAATTTAGTTTGGGTGATGATTTAATTATATATAGCATATACAGTATAAATTCATATTAAATTTTTTAATTTTAAAAAAATTAACAAAGTAAATATATATAAATTATATATAAAATTTTATATATAATTGTATATAAATTATATACACATATATATAAATGACAATCACACACTGAATTTTTAATTAACATTTGTACCCAGCCTAATAAAGATATTGGGACTAAAAGCATTAGATCAATAAATTAAAAGCTGCTGTTAGCTACAATACAACACTTAAAGTCAGTAAGACTCAGGACATATATTTCAGTTTGGGGCGAGCATGGACAAAAAATAGAATTACACAGAAAGATGTGGAATGATGGAATTTCCCTTAAACTTCTGGCATAAGGACTCTCTGTCTGGCAATTCCTATGCACCACACCCGTAAGAACCAAAAGGACTCGCTGCCTGCTTCCCCCTTAGGCACACCCACAGCTGTGCTGCGGTAGCCCCAGACCTTCTCCTCTTCCATGCAGAAACTGTGCTCCAAATTCCACAGCTTCATGGCTGAATTTTTAAATTTTACAAAATCCCATCAGATCTAATCACAGGTTGTTGGACTAAATCATTATTTTAATTAATCATATTCTCTATCCATCCTTTCTAACCTGTCCATAAATATCCGTGCCATTTTATAAAGTGTTTATTCCTTTAGATATTTTCAAAGAGTAAAGATGTCTTCATTTTACGCAGGTTTACTTTTAATCAAATATTCAGAAGGCAACACCCTTTATTTTGTCAAATCCCTGTGTGCTCATCTTGCAAAATTCTTCTCCAATACCCACTTGGGAGCCCGAGTCAGCCTGGTAGCAGCTGGCCCAGGTCCATGCTACCTCCCCAACATTACGAGGGTACTTCAAAAAATTTGTGGAAAAATAGAATTAAAAGATAATACAAGGGCTGGCTGGTTAGCTCAGTAGGTTTGAGCGCAATGTTATAACCCCAAAGTCAAAGGTTCAGATCCCCATACCGGTCAGCCAAAAAAAAAAAAAAAAAAAAAGATAATACAAATCTTTCCATGAATTTTTTGAAGAACCCTTGTATTTCCACTTCTATCAATCATGCCTCAGGACTTAAGGTCCTGAGGGATGAAAACAGGATTATATTTTATTCCAACATTTGTGAGTAGATGAAAAACATTTCCAAAGGTTCTAACTTAGGTTTCTACTACTAGAAAGGCAAAAAGAGATAGAGAAAATGGGAGGGAAGATCATGCCTACTGTTAGTCCTCACAAGACAAGCAATTGCATCGAGGTAAGTTAAGTGACTATTGGATGCATGACATTGTGTTAAGTGCTATTTCTCAGCCTTCATCCCCAAAAAAAGAAAAAAGAAGAAAATCTGTTTGCCTCCTGTACTCCCCAAACACCAATTATTTAAACTGGGCCAAATGCATTTGCTCATCAGGCTTTTGGGGGCACTTGAGGGAAGAGGAAGGGGAGTGAGCTCGTGTGCTCACCTGTATGGCACTGTCACCTTGGCCATACCTCAATGCCCTGGCTCTAGGGTGGGGCCCCTCTCCCCCTAGTCCTCCCCCTAGGTGGGTCCCTGATCAAGGAGCCCCACTAGGCCCTCGCAAAGTGCAGCTCTTCTCCACATGGCCAGCTGAGCTGACCCCCAAAAACACAACATGAGCTCTGGGAGGGCTCCTCACCCTTATGGTTTCAGGGGGAGGGCCATGCACAGCACCCCACTAGTTCTCAACACAGACACACTCCCCCGCTCCACTTCTTCTCCTTGCCCCTTCCCTACCGTCCAGGGTGCCATGGGCTGATCCTGGCCCCACAGGCTGCACTGTCTCTCCTGGGTGATGGATCTTCAGGATTTGGGGGTACTTAGGGTCTGTGTCATTGTTTGGAGCCTTTGGGATTTGACGGAGGCTCAGAGAGCTCCGTTTTCCTATCCTGTTACATCCACTTGTAAATTCTCTGTCCTGAAGTCACCAGCCACTGTTAGTTACTCTAATGTGTCAGAGTGATCTGACAGCAGCACCTCCCATTTATTGTCTTGTACAGTTAGGAGCCTTTCCAACTGAGGTCAATGTACTGTAGTAAAAAGCACACTGGATTGGAGTCAGAGATGACCTGTGTTTCTGTGCTAGCTCGCAAGGTTGCTATCTGAGCAAAGGCTCTGATCTTCAATTTCCTCATCTGCAAAATGGATATAATGATGCCTTCCCCATGGGGTTTTGGTAAAAACTGAATAAGATGATGCAAGAAAAAGAATTTTGTACCATCAGTTGAGAACCCACATTGTCAGGGACCCAGCACACTGTTATCTCATTTCATTGTAACACTAGCCATGCCACATAGGTTTTCTGATCGCTATTTAAAAAAACAAACAAAAAAAAAACAAAACAAAACACTGAGACTAATGAATTTGATGAATTTTCCAAGATTTACATCCAGTTCAATCTAATTCAAGAGACGTTTTTTCCCACCATATTTACTCTGACAATCAAAATGGAGAAAGGATGAGAAACCCAAAAGCCACCATAAGGGTCTGTCCTTAAAGATCATGGTTCTGGGGTCTGTGCATCTGGAAACAGCAAGGACTGTCCTCTCTCCCTTTGCCCCCCCCCCCCCCCTCCCGCCAAAACTTTTTGGCGGGGGGGGGGGGGG